TCTTCTCTGAACTTTTTCCAAGTTGGCTTCCAGTTCTCATATTCTCAGTCAGTATGACTGGTGACTACTGGGGTTCCTTTACACAAAACTTAGTAAAAAAAATAGAAAGAGGCTCTTCTATTTCATCCTTATCTTGCATTCACTGTACTTACATCTTCATGACATGGTAGATCTTGTGTGATCATTGCAATTGCTTGTTCAAATCTGTGGATCCCGAGTTCCTCATACAATTTGTAATGATGTCTTAAGGATTTCTACCAATCTAAAACCATAGTTGTACTGACAGTTGAAGAAAGCACCTAGCTGACTTCGTTTGTTCTGGAAATTGCTAATCCATGTTAACCTGGCTGGCATTGAATGGAAGACCACCAGGAATGACCTCCTTTGGGAAGTCAGGAGGAAAAAATGCACAAAGCGGTGATGGGAAACCACTTCAGCATTGCTGCCAAGAAAACTACAAGGTGTGTCCATGAAGTCTTCAGAAACTGAAGGAACTCTGCAACATCCTTTTCTTCATATGTCATGGCACTACAACTATAATTAGCTATAATGTCTGTGTTATGTGTGAGAGTTTAAGACTGATTTTGCATTGCCTGCAATTGCACATAGGCATCACCACATGCCTACACTGCAAAGGGATTAATGGGTAAGTGTAGGTTGCAGATGGCTGCAGACCTGTCAACATCCCAACTGTGCATCGTTTGGAGATGCATATCCTGCATGTTGATTGGTTGATCTGACTTCCTGTTTTGTGCTTTGCTGTTTAAGTGCCCCCAATCCAGAACAGTACATTTGCAGAAATATAAGTGGAACACCTATATAACCATTCCTGAATGAGAGATGCATATCTTCCCTGATGTGTGGTGCCAGAGAAGTCTGCTCAACTCTTTACTTATTTTGTTTCATTAAAACAATAGGGGTGGTGGCTTTGTTTAGCATAGAAAATTGTCTTTTTCCCACTAACTTGAACCTTATGCTTTTCTTCAAGTCTTTTCTCTGATTAAGGCACACCTTATCAGAACTAAGAGCAGGATCTGATGGAACACAATGCAGCAACTTTTAGAATGCTAAAAACTGATTACTGACTAGGAAAAAGTCCTTTTCTTCTTTTCTTGACCACATATAAAAGAATACATACTTACCACTTATACATTTAGCTTGGCTTCAGTATTTTAGAAATATTTCTTCCAAAATATTTTTGAGTGGCGAGTCATCATCATTCTAGAGCATTGTCTCCATGGATAACAATGATCAGTGACAATGGAACAGTCTCAGTTGCCTCTATTAACAGATTTGCTGCTCTATAATAAAAACCTTTGACTCTTTCTTGGTGATCCCATATAGCAATAGAATAATGGATTAGCTTCCTTTTTCTGCAAATAACCATTTTGCTGTCCATTTAGAAGTGAAACAGCTTTAGCAAACTGGATGGGAAGATCTAATCCAGCCAGTTGGCCAGAAGATCTCCATTCTGAATTAGCAATAGGTAGAATATATTTATTACATTTATACCTGTACTGTAAAAATGCCAGTTATCCAATTCCATAGTAAAAAGAGCAACTCCTCAAATTTTAAATAGATATCAAGTTAACACTGGGTAAAAGTAAGCAGAAATGGCTCCTGAATAAAATTGTAATTAATTTAAAAATGTAATTTAGAAATGTAATTTATGAAAGCAAACTAATGCAGAAAAAGCCAAGATCTGTTTACATGTCTGTTTAAGTGACGAGGTTTTGCCTGAGAATGTGAGATCATCAATCAAGGAAGATAATTGTCAAGCCTCATTGTCTGAATCCTAATGGTGTTGACATTTTCCTTATTATTAGCGTGGTGGCTCATAGGGGATAGTGTCTTAGTATTGCATCGCTCCCTATGAGAAATTTATCTTCATGTTTTGGCACACCTGAGTATACATAAACCATTCTTTTGATCATAATCCTAGGCTGGACTAACTTGCATAGTGTTTACAGATTTACCAGTTCAATCAATTACAATACTAATATTAGATCTACATAATTATTAGTTTGTTATTTGTGAACATACATTTAACAAATGTCCAGCTTGCTTTTTAAACAGGAAAAGAAGCTGGTGTGGTTTCTTAAAATATATAAATGAATACCATAACTTTTTTTATTTGTTTGCCAAAAAGGTGGGTAAGCTCTGTATTATCCAATCACCTGTAGCTGATTTTTCTCCACCCCCTGAAGGCAAGCAGCTTCACACAACCTAATCTTTCAATTTTTTAAAACGCAGTTATCTAAGTAAAATCTTCCTACAGCCTGCCTCTTCCTTACCCTCTCTGTGCCTGAGAAATACAGAACTTGAATATTATTGTCAGGTAAGTAAAGATTGGGTCAAAATAAATCTTATGTTGAAACAAAGTACAAACAAAATACTTTGCTGGAGGTTCTCTTCCACTCAGCCACTGAATGTGGAATGCTGGCCCCTGATAAAAAAATTGTTTTGTTTTTTTAAATGATGTTTTCTTATTAACGTAGGTTAGAAATGTAACCTATAGCATGTTAATATTCTAGTATCATTTTGTGTAAACATTCAAAAGAAGCAACAATTAATGTTTTAATCCTGGAAGTTTAAATTTTCTCTAAGTACCGGTATGCTGCAGCTAAATTTATTCAAAGATACTGTTGGAATGATTTAAAAGTTCTGTGAATTTTTTTTATAATGTTACATGCAGTGTTTTGTAAAGGAACATTTTAAGTTCACATTAGTAGATGGAGACTGTACTTCCAAGAACATTTACTTGGAAATCTGTTTTACTAACCTCTGTGAAACTAACTGGAGAGAATTTCTTTTTACAATTACACAATAGATATTTTATAGTAGCACTTAGTAAGGTCAATAAATGTGTTATAATGTACAAACAATTTAGTAAATACTTTAAGAAAGACAATAGCTTAACAAATGAACTTTGTGAGTAAATACTGTACCTCAGACTAGCTTTTCTTCTGTAACTTAAAAATGGGATTGGTGAGGTTGAAAGGTATGGGAAAAGAGAATGCTTAGGACCTAACTTTTGTTAAAAAAAATTGATGGATTATGGGAAGGAGAGAGATGTTTACTAATCATACACATTTTATAGTAACACCCTTGATTCATAGAGCCATAAAACAGTCACATTAATTGCCTTCCCTTGCAAAGAATTATATGTAGAATTATGAGAGTGTTTGTACAATTATATTTTACTATTCATGTTTCCTTCCTTATTGCAGGATTGTGGGATCCTTTGGGATAGATTCTGGAAGGATGAGAATCTGTTCCAGTAAGAGAGATTGAAAAAATGATGCTACAGATTATAGTTTAAGATATTTATTTTGTATACTAGAAAATTTTTGCTACAAATGCTATTTTTGAGAGCAGGTATCTAATATTTGGAAATGGAAAGCAACAGCATTATTTATTTTACATGTTTGGAAGTTCCATGCTAGGGAGAAAGAGGAAACAGTAGCTAAGCAGTTTAAGGGCATTGGATTAGAAAGATTGAAATCTTAGTTCTAATCCAGATTTAGGTATGGAAGCCCACTTTGGACCAGTCAGTCTATCTCATCTTCAGAAAAAAGACAGTGGCAAACTACTTTGGAAAATGTTGTCCAGAAAACTTCATGGACTAGTCTATGTAATTGCCAGGAGTCAATATTGACTCAAAGTCCCCTTTTAATTTCAGCTTGTTATGATAACTGTGTAGATTATATAATAGCTAAGGGCGATAACATTTATTTTAGTCATACTTAAATGGTAAAGTTGCAATAATAAACTATTTATTATAATTTATTATAATTATATATTATAATTTATTATATTATTATAAGCTACAACAGAGAAAAGAACACATAAGCTGTTTTGTAGTAGAATCATAATCTTTTCAGGTTATAATTGTGATATAGACTTTATCTCATTTACCCACCCAATTAAATTTATTCAGGTAAAGAAATAATCTGTTCTATAATCATAGAGAAAATATATATGGTTTTGCAATCACACTCTGAAAAAGGAGGCAGGTGTGTGTGTGCGTATATCAGAAAACATTTATGTGCAGCATCACTTCATCACTTCGATGAAAGGAGCAAGATCATGAAGACTCTCATGAAAGCAGGCATATGTTGACTTAATAGAAAACATTTTTCTTTGACCCCCCGTAATGAAAAAGAGTAGATTATTGTAACATGGTTGAATAAAACTAATCAAGATGTTGGTAATGCATATAATGTGATCCTTTAGCCTGGTCCATTTTGAAAGACTTTGGCATTATGGATTATAAATATTTCCTCTTTCTGTACTAATTGAGAAAGTTTTCTCTTAGTCAGTGACATATCTCCAAATGCAATTGCAAATAAAGCAGATCTTAAAGCCATTTCACACACTGCTGTTTTTTGGGAGCATCTATGGATGCATACATTGTAGGGGAGACTTGTTTTGATAGATACAGTGGATTACTGCTTATGAAAAGGTTGTGAATTTGAAAAACCATAATAGGAGAGATTAGACTGAATGCTGATCCATCAGTTGTCTTCTTAACCTTCAACATGTTAGCATTATGAAGTACAATAAATGAAATTTCATAATCATAATTTAGGTATATTTTCAGTGGTCAGAAAGTAAGTGAAAGTAAGAATAATCCCTTAATTTTGTGCTATTTCTTAGTATAGTGTGTAAAGTATTTTTTCTTAACTATATCAAACCTTTGATTAAATGGGTCTTGGTTTAGCAGACTCTGGGCACAATGGATAAAATCTGACTCTATATTGTATGGTTCTGTCCATAATTGTACAGAACAGCAAAACCTTACTATTTCAAATTTGTACAAAATATATCAAGTATTTTATTTAAAATCCTATTTGGATGTAACATAAATTTGGGTTTTAAAGATACCCTTCTCCTCCATTAAGTTTGTTAAAACAAGGTTCACTGTATACAAATGGTTGTATGAATCTGAATATGATATTTTGGGTTCTTTGTTTTACAGTCATCTCTTTCATTTTTAGGCTTTTTCATCCAACATGACCGGTGGCCCAGCCTTGTCATTTGCTCGGTGCCTGCTGAGAAGAAAAATTGTCACCGGGGACAGTCTTGAAGATTCAAAGCTATGCCGCTGTTTATCAACTGTGGATCTTATCGCTTTAGGAGTAGGAAGCACCCTTGGTGCTGGTGTTTATGTCCTTGCTGGAGAAGTTGCAAAAGCAGATTCTGGACCTAGTATTGTACTTTCTTTCCTCATAGCTGCCCTAGCTTCGGTCATGGCCGGACTTTGTTACGCAGAATTTGGTGCTCGGGTCCCCAAAACTGGCTCAGCCTATCTGTACACATATGTAACTGTTGGTGAAATCTGGGCTTTTATCACTGGCTGGAATCTCATTTTGTCCTACGTTATAGGTATGTCTGAAAGTTGTCAGGTTTATAAGGAAAGTCAATGCAGCCTTTTGGCTTTGGATCCTGGCTGCTGTTGACTAATTTGAGTAAGCCTCTGCTGTTTTTCTCTGATGAGAGAGCCAGAGGGAGAAAGAAGCAGAGACAGAGCTTCTAGACATACTCTGAAATGCATTTGACCTTTCACTGTCTGTTGGCAATGGTGAAGATAGGACAGAACGCAGCAACCAGCAATATGAGAGGGGTTTTAACTCACTATGTATTAGGATGATGACATAGAAATGATACGTGAACTAAGTAGAGGATACTTCAATTTCAAATATAGGTCTTGAATTCCAATAGAAGTTCTGGAAACCAAATACATTCAACAGGTTGATTCTTAGTACATAGAGTTGAATATAGCATATATGTTTGACATATATGATTTTTCAGGCACAGTGTGAATCAACAAATTGTGGGTATGTGGGATTTAAAGTATAAAAGTAGCAGATTGCAAAAGATACTTCTGTATTTTCTGATTGTTATTTGAAGCAGAGTGTTCATGTATTACATGCCATGCTGAAGAGGGTGTTGGGAAGCTTTTCTAAATAGTATGACACAAATCAGTAAAGTTGTGGAGCTTTGCAAACTGATACATTAAATTTTTCCTCATCTTGATCAGTATCTCATCAAGCATTATTTTATCAATCAGTTTTAATTGCAGATTAAACGATTATTTATTTCAGTCAGTTATTAAAGCTATTTGTTGTGGAATAGATGTGGATCATTAATTTACATCTTGGAAAAGATCCAAGATTATTGATAGTGTGGTTACAGTCCCTATTTTTTCTCTTCCAGGATAGATAGAGCTTCACTTTTTCTTAATTCTTCTCTTTTTTTCTTTTTTAAAGAGACATTAATTTGACCTGGATATTGTTCTGTTAGAGAAGGAGCTTTTGTATGATTCAAGATACATTCAGTATAGTGTGCAGCTGATCTGTTAGTCATTCATATATATTATTTAAAAGTTTAAAGCTAAAAAATGTTCTATTAAACATTACTCTTTTTTTCCACTTTAAGTAGCACTCATTAGTTACCTGATAATTCTTCTGATAAAATAATTCTACTGATTAAAAAAGACTCTATCCTGTTTGGATTAACGTTACCTCCCCAATATTTGGTCAATAAATTGCAATGTTAGGAAATACCTACTTATGTAACCCAATGTGAAATATCAGAGAAGTGAAACAATGCTGTAAACTCTTATCCCTTAGAGTGGATTGCACTTGTGTGTATGTACTAAAGATATGCAGCCTATTTCAAGTTTCAACTGATTTTTTTATCAGCAGTGTTTGTTTTCACTTTCAAAGTCAAAGTCATGCTTTGACTTTAAAAAGTTTGTTTTGATATTCATCTGAATATATATTATAGAGTAAGATTACTTTTAAAAAATTGCAAGCAAGGACTATGTTTATGCCCCTGTCTACTCCAAAGCAGCTTGTCCTAATTACTTATAAAGTAAATTATTTCTATATATATTCAAGTGAATTGCCAACAGGCTGTAGGTAGTCCTCATAACCCCTGTGCTATTCACCACTGAAATTTGGTAGAGTAGTTTGGTCTCAATATTTGGCAATGATAGAATTGCAGTGTGCTTCTAGAATTCATGATGTGTCCATGTTGTTTCCAGAATTTTGAGTTTTTATTTATTTATTTTTCCCATGACCATTTATGCAATCTAGGCCACATAAAAAGTTAGGCATCTTTAAAATATGAATGAATATTTTATTTGTAGTGTTTATTTGATATCATTTTAGTATGATGGTTCAGGCATAAGACTGGAAAGTTTTTTTGAAATTAGTGTGATAACATAATTACAAAATGCCATCACAACTTTAAAAGACTGAATTGAACAGTACTTTTGTGTCATTTGCCAAATATATCACATTTTGTTGTTTATCGCAAAGGTACTTCAAGTGTTGCAAGAGCATGGAGTGGAACCTTTGATGAACTTCTTGGAAAACAAATTGGTTATTTTTTCCGAACCTACTTCAGAATGAATTACTCTGGCTTAGCAGAATATCCAGATTTTTTTGCAGTCTGTCTAATATTACTCTTAGCAGGTACAGTACTTTTAATGTTCATTTTTCTATGACCATAATGTTTGTTAAATGAAAAATGTGTTTTATAATATGTATTGCTAGATTCACACAAAGTTATAGTGTGGTGTACAAGAATACCAACTGATTTAGGTAATTGCAGTCAAAAGTCTAATCTTGTGCTGCAAATCTGTGAATCAGTCCTTATTTCAAAGGTATAATTATACCTGGATTATTCTTTTGAATTAAAAGTAAAGTGGTTAATTTTGCTCTTTTAGGGTAAGAGCTGTTTTGGACCCTTTATTTGTCAATGATTGTGTTTGGGGTTTCTCTGTATAATCACCAAATACACAATTGTATGCAGGTTCCTCATTTAGCAATCACAACTAGGACTGGCAACTTTGTTGTTAAGCAAAGCGGTCACTAAGTAAAATCGCAATTGTGCTTATGATCTTACTTCAGTTTTCCTTTGCTTTACAGATCTGCAAAGTTCATAATGGGAAGATTGGTCATAAAATCATTTTTTTCATCACCATCATAATTATGAATGATTATTATAAACAGGACAGTTGCTAAACAAGATCTATTTGTATTCACTGCAGCTCAAAACTCACTGTTGACTACAGTGTGAATAATGTATTATTTGCATCTGATGATATTACTGGCCTATCTTCATATGTTTTCCACAGTTCTTCTGGCTTGGAGGTTAAGTGGTAGTATTACAGGAAGCAGACATTATGCATCTACGCCCAGTAGAGGCTTGCATTATGCATATAGACAGATATGTTATTGTATGTCTGGTCAGGTATAATAATTGTATTAGGAACATTAAGAGATCTTGTTTTGACTAAAACATCTCTTTTATAGGACTTTTATCATTTGGAGTAAAAGAATCTGCATGGGTAAATAAAGTCTTCACTGCTGTTAACATCTTGGTTCTGCTCTTTGTTATGATTTCTGGCTTTGTGAAAGGCAACATTAATAACTGGAAGAGAACTGAAGAATTTCTGATAAACTACACTGCAGAAATAAAGTAATATGGGTTTTCTTGTTTTATATTTCCTTTCCTTCTCTCATCTTTTCTGTTCTGAGAGCATTTACAGATCACACTAAACTAAGAATTAGGAATCTCTGTCCATATCCCAGATTTAGTTCACGTAGTCTCCCCCCTAAAGATGGGTGGAGGCTATCAAAATGCTATTTCTCATATTTGATATCTGTTGACAGAGAATGTAAGGAACAGGAATTGCAGATAAATTAGAAGTTATGGGTCATGGAGTAGGCTGTGATCCAATCCAATAACGTTATTTCTTAGGAACGTAGTACGACCAGACTTTCTTTGGAAGGCAATGGTTTAATTCCTCTTTTTTTTCTAATCAGCCAGAGATGACATTCCTTTTTTTATTTTTTATTTTATTTCATATAAATTGGGAATCATAAAATAAAAGATAATAGCTCCTATCGAACTATAATAGTTGGTAGCATCTAGCTGAGTGTGGGTGATTTTGAAATACTAAGAAGTTTGCGATTTGGGTGGGAAACTAAGGAAATCCCAGGGCTGAGGGCTAGATTGGAAAATTTAAAGTCTTTAAAGAAGGCAGTGGCAAATCATTTTTATGTAATTGCCAAGAAGACTACATTGACGTATCTGTGAAGTTACTGGGGTCATCCTTGAGCCAAGGAAGATTTTTAATAATAACAGATCCTATTAATAATTAAAATTATGTTACTTTCTTGTTCCAATTTAAAAATAAATGCAGAAAGTTACATAATATCTAATTTTATTAGCTATTTAATTCAGAAATTTACCCAAATGAAACTGTGGTTTGGTGTTTTGCTTCAAGTAGCATAAGGTGTGGGGATGGCTTAAGGGGCAAGTATGCTACTTTTGCAGTCTTCATGTTTTTGTGTGTGCATGTTTTTGAATTGTACATGCTAAATTACAGTTTAATGGATTGGATCCCTCTTGAAAAATAAAAGGAAGGGAAATATATTGTATTCCTATTTACTTCATACAGCAAAGTTTTGACTGAAGTTACCACCATATTAACCTGGATATGGGAAATACCCAGGACTACTGAGCAGACAGAAGATGGGACCAGGTTCAATCAGTCACTTCAGATCTTCCACCTTTACTTGGGGAAGATACAAATAACACTAGTCTCTATTTCTCCATTTTGTCACCTTATCACTAAAACTGGGAAGAAGCCTGTGAATTATAATGCACTCTAAGCTTTGTAGTGTGACTCTTTTTTTATTTGATAAGTCTTAAAATTATAACTGTTATGGAAAGTCTGCTACAGATCTGCAATCCGTTTTATGACAGTAATGTGTGGCCCTCCATCTAGGTATGAATGGTGAAAATTTGCAGGATTATAGAAAAAAAACAATTATTTTAGTCAGTATTGGTATTTTAGCAGAAATGGAAAAGAAACATTTCATTTCTATTGTGAGTCTTTGTCAGCTACATTGCCTTATGAAGTGGAGTTGAAGATTTGTGAAGAAGGCAGGAAACTAATGATATTGCTGGACTAACACCACCAATCTATGTAGTGCCACAACTATGAAAAGATAATAATTGCTTTAGGATTGTTTGATAATTACAATAGGTGACAAATCTAAAATTGTTCTAAATTGTTAATTGTATATTTAGAAATCTATCATCCTCTGAGAATGTGACAAGTATATTTGGAGTTGGTGGCTTCATGCCATATGGCTTTACCGGAACACTAGCCGGCGCTGCAACCTGCTTTTATGCCTTCATAGGATTTGATTGCATTGCAACTACTGGTGAGCTTTTAAAATTGTGATGTTTTAATAGAAATTGTTAGATAGATAGATAGATAGATAGATAGATAGATAGATAGATAGATAGGTAGGTAGGTAGGTAGGTAGGTAGGTAGGTAGGTAGGTAGATAGATAGATAGATTGTATTCTTAGTTAATATGTCCATTTTCCATACACTTTATAATTTTTATAAATAATTCAAAGTGGTGAAAATAACTAATACGCCTTCCTCCTCCTATTTTCCCCACAGCTAGCCTCATATCTTGATAGTGAATGCACGCATGTTATGCTCTTTGTTATACAATAACTCAAGTTTAAGTAACATTACCAATAAATTTGAGATTTCTGTCTGAGATGTTGTTAGTTGCTCTTAGGACCATGTTGGATGAATGTGCGGATCTTTTCTGCTTTAAGGGGCAATCCTATATTTTATGCAGATACAGGTCCAACTGAATTTCTTGTATGTGAAACTTTCTTTGGAGTAAAATATATTACTTCGCTCCATTGAAGGAGCAAGGCTGCAAGCTTCATATTTTCACAGCAGCAGTGATAAATACAGGATTAGCTGCCCTTTAAGAAAAAAATACAGGCAAGGGAAGAAGGTTGGAAAGGTAGATTTGCTAATTTATATGATTTCCTCTTGGAAAAAGGCAGTAGATTTCCCACAGATAAGCCATTGCATTACATTCTCCTCCTCCTCCTCCTCCTCCTCCTCCTCCTCCTTCTTCTTCTTCTTCTTCTTCTTCTTCTTCTTCAAAGTTGGAAGGGACCTTCTTAACTGCTACTACAGGAAGAACAGCAAAACAACATACTATTGAAAGAGCTTTGTTACTCTGTGCAGTTCTTTTTTCCTCTATAAAGATTATTTATATACTTTCCCAATGCCAATCATATCCAGGTTGCAATTGCCAACACATTTACTTATTAGTTAGTCTTAGATCTCACCTTTTTGCATTTTTTCTAAAAGATAGCCCATAAACAGATTTCCATTTTATCTCCACAACAGCCTTTGTTTGTGATTTTCCTGAGAGAGATTGACTGGCCCAAAGTCAGTCAGTGAGTTTAGAGAGTAGAAATGACCACAGTGAGTCTTCTGAATAAACATGTTTGAGTTATGTGCTCTAAATCAAATACATAAGCATATTGCCATGCTAAATTTAGCCAAGAATATTTTTAGCCATTGCAACCAGATGTATGTTTTCCAATAGATTTAGATAATTATTCTTGTTTTGGGTACATATTCTAGATGTTTCTTTCTTATTGCCTTTTATTATTTGAATACTATATTCAACATGTTCCACATTTGATAGTCACTGTAATTGCATTTATTTTCTCCTTGTAGGGGAAGAAGTCAGGAATCCTCAGAGGGCCATTCCTATTGGAATTGTATCATCTCTACTTGTCTGCTTTCTGGCCTATTTCGGAGTTTCAGCTGCTTTGACACTTATGATGCCATACTATTTACTTGATGAGAAAAGTCCTCTCCCTGTAGCATTTGAGTATGTTGGATGGGGTCCAGCAAAATACCTTGTAGCCGTCGGATCTCTGTGTGCTTTATCAACAAGGTAAAATAAGGAAAAATAAACAATTGTCAGAAAATAATTTAGTGACAAAATAAGACTTCTTAAATTGTTCATTACATGTATAAAGCAGGGTAAATAATATAATGTGTTCTACTTCAAATCCTGATGTGTAACTTAAGTTATTAATCTGTATGCTACTTAGTATGAAGAAGTCAGTGAATGGACTGTTTAATTATTCAGTCAATCATAGTCTGATGAATATAGTCTAAGCATTATACAGGGTTAATACAAATATTCATAGTGGATAATATTAATACATTACAGCCCCTTTGTTCAGCCCCAGTTTTTTTTAAATAACACATTGAAAAGATCTTCTAAAAAGTGCAGCAGTTTTTAGCAGTTCAGCTAAAAAGGAGCAGTTCTTTTCAAAATTATTCAATTGAAATTCCTAAAATATTTGCTTTTAAGTGTATGCTTCCAATAATTGCATCAGATTTAGAACTCTGAAACTGTATTCTAGCTTCATTGCCTGCTAATACAGTTTGTCCTGTCTGAAACTAAGTTTCAAAGAAACCCAATAATTTTACAGTTTATTGAAACCAGTCTTCCTATTTAGTTTAAAGTAAATGTGGTTTCAATTGATATCACACAAAAATCTGAATTTGTTTTAGAGGATTATTTTCCCTGTAAAATAGACATCAATTTTTCTATCTTATTTGCTACCATAATTACTGCACAATATTCATTTAGTGTACTTTGGAATTTTTTTGAAGCAGGTTTTTGGACTTGGTGGTAAAATTGTATGTTTTTCCCTGGCAAAACACAACAAATGAAAACATTTTTTTTCATATGTCGTTGAAAGATAGGAAATGTGATAGGTTAAAGTGACAATTCTGCAGCAAAATACCGGAAATACACATCTTGGCTAGTTTTTAACTTGGATAAAATGTAGTAACTTCTACACTCACTACCATAGATTCCCCAAAATTTTATTCAGTTTTGAATTATTTTTTTTAAAAAAACAATGATTTTCCATAACATTGAAGATTGACTTTAAAAATATTCACCATAGCAATACTTTAAATACTCATATGTGCAAATTTCAAATTCAACATTTTGGTTAAAATAAGCAATATTGTGCTGGCTTCCTAATGCTTCTATATGCCTGTTTGCTAATAACGCTGAGGCTGTTAGCCAATATATTTTAAATTGGCATATGATGTCAGTAGGTGTAAGCAATCTTTTCAGCATGCTAATATTAATCAAGTCACTCATTCTAATGTAGACATGATATTCCTAATATACAAACCATAACTGGAAGATTATAACTTGTACTAATATTATGGTATAGTCTCCATTTCTCTTGCTTAGATTGTTCTAACTATAATGTTTCATTCATTTATTTCTTAATATTAAACAATATTGTCCTTATAACCAGATTTTAATTGCACTGACCTTGTAAATGCTGGTTAATTGACACAAATATTGCAGAATGGTACTCCTTGGAAATGTTGTAATGGAGGCATGTAAGTTTGTGTCATAGTAGTCTTAATCATAGTTATTTTAAACCACAGTAGTTTTGTTATTTTATTCCATTATGTGGTATATAGTATATAGACTATTCATTTCTTTTAAAATAATGTAGATGTTTGTATAGTCAAAGAATAAGACGTATAACTCTTTTCTTAATTATGCACTATTGTCATATAAGCCATAATAAGGAGAAATAAACCTAAAGTGGAAATGCATAAAGTTTGCTGTTGGTAGGATTACTCTTTATTTAAGGTAATGTAGTAGATCATTCTATTTAAAAAGAATGGCATGTCATTTCAAATTATTTATATATATATTGTTATTGATATTTGATAAGGACGTAATCATTGCAGGGATATTTGTTGCTTGTTTTTAATTCTGCTGCCTGATGCAATTGTTCAAGATGTGGTTATGCTTAATTACATTATGCCATGATACATCTTACTGGTACATTGTTTTGGAAAAACTACAGTGAAGACACAAGCTACTTTAGTAATTAAAATAAAGTCTTCATTTTAAGGAAAAATTGGGAAGGTGGGTCTATTGAAACTGAAAATTGGTTAAAGCCAAGTCTTTTAAATTATCTAAATTTGATTCAACAATCATTTGACAGTTCAGTGTAAATTCTTATTTTGTCCATGCACCCAAAGATCTGCTAAATTGGACCCATGAAATTAAAGTTTTATATAATTGTCAGTATTTTATTGCAAACATTATAGTTGTGGAACCAGTCATAATCACTAAAAATTACAGATATTATTCAACTTCAGCGAGTTAAATCAAGACTTTTCTCCCCAATTTAAAAATATACCTGTGGGAAATATCTCATGTATCATATAGCATCTTTACAATAATTCATTAGGCTAATCTTATTTTTTTTCTTTTTTAAAGCTTTTTATCATATCACAAGTCTGGTTGATATGACAATAATACACTTACTTTGTATCAACTGGAAAGAGAATAATTTTGGTTTGGTAATTGGCACTGTTAGGTGGGGTCCTTGGTGCTCTCTGAGCTTGGTGGTTTTCCTGCAGATGTTTCATAACCAAATTAGGTAAAATCATCTGTTTGGTAATGAAACATCTGCAAGGAAACCAAGCTCAGAGAACACCAAGGATCCCACAATTTAACCCTAAGCTACAAATACAGGTATTCCTCGACTTGCAACAGTTCATCTAGTGACCGTTCGAAGTTACCACAACACTGAAAATAGTGACTTATGATCATTTTCCACACTTACAACCATTGTAGAATCCCATAGTCACGTGATCAAAATTCAGAGGCTTGGCAACTGACTCATATTTATGATGGTTGCAGTGTCCCAGGATCATGTGATTGCCTTTTGTAACCTTCTGACAAGCCACGTCAATGGGGAAGCTAGATTCATTTAACAACTGTGTTACTAACATAACAACTGCAGTAATTCACTTAACAACTGTGGCAAGAAAGGTTGTAAAATGGGGCAAAACTCACTTAACAAATGTCTCATTTAGCAATAGAATTTTTGGGCTCAATTGTGGCCGTAAGTCAAGGACTACCTGTATTCTGTTCTATTAGTACTGTTAGGTGGGTTTTTATTTTGAAACAAATTTTATTCATAGGCTAGAATTATATAAGGCACAATATACTACAGTAGATATTATCAATACTACAATAATAAGAATTTACTTGATTTAAGCATTGCTTGATTCCAGAATCAAATGATGTGGGGAGAACACTATAGGACAAACAAAATTTGAATACAATATGAATAAGAAAAAAAAGATAAATAAGATCAAGTGATAATATTGTGATATTGTTTAAGAGAATGTTATTATTACACTCTTTAGATGTTTAGGACAATATTAGCATGCATTGGTCATGATCTACATTATATAATCTGTACGATGAATGATATTGGAATGAATTAATATTCAATCCATAAAAATGAATGATGTATATCAGATATTGGAACCACACTATAAGTCCTTCCAAAAAAGGTCTGCATATGGTATTTTTGTACCATTTAAAAACCAATGAATTCAGGAAACTTGTATCTTAACTGTAGTTATTGTCTTGTATACCATATTACCTCCTTGCCAAAGTACCATGTTCGGAATCACTTACTGTTAATTAGTATTGTTTCGCTTTTCTATAATGAATTGCATGAATTGGTGTTGGCCATGTTGCATGTTCTTTTGCTTTTTATTCAGTCTCCTTGGATCCATTTTCCCCATGCCTCGTGTAATCTATGCTATGGCATCGGATGGCTTGCTTTTCACATGTCTAGCTCAAATCAACCCCAAAACGAAGACTCCACTTGTTGCAACTTTATCATCAGGGGCTGTTGCAGGTGAGATCCTAAGTGAATGTATTGTAAGGCAATGGATGCCTTCAGCCACAGACAACTTTCAGAGTGATACATGGATGACTGTGTTCTATTGCAACTCAAGTTCTAACTTGTGATTCTCTGAGTAAAAATATTATTTTTGTCTGTCACAGACATTGTCGATTGGAAAACCTGGATACAAGTGCATTTGACAGAAAATGCACCCATTTCTATCTATGTCTGTATGTTGAGTTAGCTTTGGCATGTAATGTTGTTACTGCGCCACTTGAACAATTACATTTTTTGTTCTAGTCTTCTGGGCTCTATGTTCCCTTTGCCTCGCATTCTGTTTGCCATGGCACGAGATGGTTTACTCTTTAGATTTCTTGCCAAAGTGAGCAAGAGGCAGTCTCCAGTTGCTGCCACATTGACAGCAGGGCTCATATCCGGTAAGCTCTGTATGTTGAGGTTTCTTAACTGAGACCTGTTTTCCCGTGCATGGCTCTGTGATATGATGGGCCTTGCTTGCTAGCGGTTTGTGCATGTAAATTGGGAACAGAGTGCTGACTAATCAGAAGGCATATTTCATTTCAATTATGATTATGGTGGTGGTGGAAGAACGAGCTCCTTAGAATTCTTCTCCAAAGCTTTCCTCCAGTGTGAACAATGATACTGCCTGGTACATGTGTGAAATAAAGAGTAAGTTGATTACCTTGATAGTTTACTGTTTTTTCAATGTTCCCATTGTGCTTTTTGTACAATTTTCATATACACTTTTCTACAATCAATCTCTGCATCTCTTAAGCCATGCTCAGCAGCATATTTTGCCAAAGGAAAGTGGCATGAAAACTGTGCTTGATACCCTCTCCATTTGGCACAGTTGTAATCTCAGCATGTATTGTGTCTCCATTTTAAACAGTGTTAAATTTTTATGTGTTGAATTTTTCAAAAAAGTTTCCAGTTCAGATTATTTAGCCAGCTGAAAAAAAATGCTGATTGTCTTTTGCTCCCATAATATGTATAATATGAGTCCCTGTCGGGAGAAGGGCGGCATATAAATTAAATTAAATAAATAAATAAATAAATAAATAAATAATAATGTGTTCATTAGCAAAAAAAAAAAAAAAGGTCAGGAAGTAATAATATAATAAAACTACAAAGAACATTTTCTTTATTTTACCGATTTGTGCAGTCTTTCTAATTCTACTTGCAAGTTGTTTTATATTTCTTTCCAATTACTAGGAGTAATAGTAGTTGCATGTTACCCTTGAAATAATAGAGACTGTGTTTCTTCATAAACAAAAGTCTGTGATTTAAAGTGAGATTGATGGCTATAAGAGTATCGTAATCAACAAAACAACAGGAAATTTTAGGAAAAGAAATCATTCCTTGAAAATCTAGTTCTTGTTTATAAACAAGCATTTTCTTTCCTCTTAACAGTCTATCTACTATCTCTTTAGTAAAACAACCCAATACATTTTATTTGTTTTAACACTGTTTAAAGAGAGATAGTCTTTTATGGATGCCTGAGAGTTCAAAATTCTTTGCATGAGCTTTCTGCAAGAAACAGAAGATTAACCATGACCACAGTTATCAGAATACTTCCTATCTATCTGTACCCTATCAGTTTGATCCAAAAAATTTTTTAATTTGCTCAGATGGGTCATTCACAATAAAGTTTGCCTAAATCATCTGCATGCTTTTTAAAGTTACTGTGACTTTCATATAAAATAAGGCTTTGTGGGGGATTTTTTGGCATTGTGCATTTAAAAACCCAAACATTACAAATGATTTGAGAATAATTTTAACTTAACAAAAGCTTCCATGAATGAATTATTTATCTCAAGCAGGTTATAAAAATTACTATCATGGACAGACGTTAATGGTCATATAGCAATGCTTTATTCTATTCAAGTTTTATATAATTATAATTTATCAGAAACTGCAAACAGTTCAACAAACTCTGGAAACAAATATTAAATGCTTAAGCATATGATGATAAGAAATATATATGTTTTGCCTAACATGTAGATACTTAATGCAAATGCTGTTTTTCCCCCTTCTTCTAGCTCTAATGGCTTTTCTCTTTGACCTAAAAGCCTTAGTAGACATGATGTCAATTGGTACACTTCTTGCATACTCATTGGTGGCTGCTTGTGTTCTCATACTTAGGTGAGTTCTGAAATTGAGTTTATAAGCAATTTGCAAAGATATTTTTCTGTAAAATAATGTTTGTGTAAACAGTTTTGTTTCTGCCTCAGTTACGGAAACAGACAATATATTTAAATGCTGACCTTGTGCATGAGATCATCATAAGAGGTTTTCAGACCATGTATGTTTCCTATATTTCTACAGATTTTAAAGTGAACAAAACTATGTATTAGTGAAGGTTCAACCCTGGGGGAGATATGCATATTTAAGGCAATGGTTGTATTATTTAAATAGTGTGTTGACAATATAATGATACTGAGGTGTCATGTTGCCTCCCGAACCTGTAGGTGGCTTCTCCGGTCATAAAAAATAAATTTCACAAATCGTACCAAAACTTTATGCTCTTATGTGAGATTTCATAAGATGATACCGTTTCAAATTATCATATTAAAAGAATAAATTAAATTATTTTAAATGTAATTTGGGATTGTCCAGAATATTGCAGTTGTCCTTACTCCTTGAAAATTAGGTGATCCCTAATCAATTAAAACACTGTAACTAAATAAGTGCTGAATAGCATGTATTCTAGAGCTAATTTTGTTTTTAGACTGATTTTACATTAGCAACCCATGTTTGCACACACAGGTACCAACCCAGTTTAAACTACGAGCAACCAAAATATTCAGCAGAAAAAGAGGCCCTTGCAGGATCAGAAGGCGAATGTAAAAGTGAATCTCAAATTAGCATGATACCAAGAAAGAGATTTAATCTACAAATGCTAATTAATCCATCAAGTTTACCAACCGAACAGTCTGCTACTGTGGTGAGCCTTCTTGTGGCCCTTTTGGGTAAGTCAAAACCTATTGGAATGCTTCTAACTTCTGTGAAAATTTAGCTATGTGCAAAATGCAGTTAAAAGATCGGATTCATATATTTTGTAGTAAATTAGTCCTTTGATTCAAGTCCGAAGTGAGGACTTGTATGTTCTGCATATAAACCTATGGTTCTCCTTTTTAAAAGACATTAACTTCTACTTTTTGTGTATATCACAAATTTTCAGATTTTTGAAATACTAAAATAATCTGTTTTCTTTTATCATCACTTAGCTGTCCTCATTTGTGGATTAAGCATTCTGACAACCTATGGAATTAATTCACTTGCAAATATGGAGCTTTGGAGTATTTTTATTCTTGCGTCTCTTTTCATACTATTCGTGATGATTATGCTTATCATCTGGAGACAACCTCAGAATCAGCATAAAGTGACATTTATGGTAAAGAGTGTGCTTGTAGATACCAAGTTTTCATTTTTAGCAAGGAGGAGGAGTGCGACTTGTTCTGATATATATTTCTTTGGGGCAACTTGCATGAAATGGTGTAATCACTTCTGCAATTTTGCTGTGAAAAATCAATACATAAATTGTATTAACAAATGTCATAATAATTTATTTTTGGCAACTCCAGAAGTTCCAGGAAAGAGCCAGAGGTGCATCAGATAAATCATCTTGGGCACAGTCCTCTAACAGATAGATGGTCAAGCAACATGTTTCTAAGCACTTGGATAGGATGCTGCAATTAACAGAACCAGTGTTGATTTGTAGCAAAGAAATTATACCTGAGTAGCCTTCTTTCCGTCTCTGAAAATGTTACTAGCTTTTTAGATTGGGCTAATATGCAATAATATACCTTGACCTCAGCAAAACCTTTGACAAATTCTCCTTAATAAAATCGTAAAGTATGGGACTGATGATGCCACTTATAGATGAATTTGAAGTTGGATGAATGACTATATCCAAAGAGGATTCATTCACTAATGGCTTCATGTCAGCTCAGAAAAACATCTCAACTGGAGTCCACAGAGTTCTGTCCAGGATTCTGTGCTGCTCAAAATTTGAATCAAGGACTTAGATGAGGAAATGAGTGATTAAAACTGGCACAAAGCTAATAATTTAGATAAAATCCAAAAAGATCTAGACATGCTTAAGCAGTGGGCAGGAGGGAATAGAATAGAATTTTGCAGGGAGAAATATACAGTCCTATACCTAAATAGGAAGTTTGGTTTCAAGACACGAGGAAGCTCATACTGGTGGAGCTCATACTGGGACTTTGGTTTATTGAAGTATATTACTTGAAATCTAAGATTTTCCATAGTAGAGCCTCTAACTCAAAATGCACATTGTATAAGTTGGTAATATTATGGACTATATCAGACTGTTACTCCACCTAGACCAACTTTCTCTAAACATTTTAGCTGCCAACTCATGATTTTTCTACCAAGAGCGAAGGGTAGGATCTTTTTATGAATATAAAATACTTCTGAAATCTCTGTTTATGTGAGTTTGGCTCCAGCAGCATGTCTTTGATGCTACTGTGAAAGGTATCCTGACATTCAGAAGTGATTTATGAATCTTGAAACACCCTGGTTCCTATGAAGGACCTTGTTCACTTTGTTGCATCTATGCTATTTGCTATTTCAAATATTATTCAAATAAATATTTAGGCAATTATTTCATTGCTGTATTTGAAGTGTAATTTAGATTGGGATCATATGCAGTCCTATAGAGAAGAACATGGTTCATGTCTAGTTGTTACGTTATACGGACATAATGTGTGCTTTGAATCCACAGATTTTGAAACTAGCGTTTAGTTAAATTTTACAAATTTTAATATAAAGTAAAAGTGTTGGGTATGGGTATTTTAGTAAATACTATGAAATATTTATTCTTAGGTTCCGTTCTTGCCATTCTTGCCATCTTTAAGTATCTTAGTGAATATATACTTGATGGTACAGCTAAGTGGACAGACATGGATCCGGTTCAGCATCTGGATGGCATTCGGTAGGTATTTCCTTGCCCTCTTTTTTGTAAAGTGTCTACTGGGTGTGTGCAAGTGTATGCATCTGCATAAATATTTGCACAGATATCTTGACGGGAGAGGAAATTTTCTAGGACTGGTTTCAGCTGGCATTGACAATCATTTGCAACAAGATAAGGAAACCGGTCATGGCATAAGATTTTTTTTCCTGTCTGCTCTTTCTTTTTTGGTCTATTGTGTGTGTGTGTGTGTGTGTGTGAGTGTGTGCGCGCTAAATGTAGCTTTGTCTTTCTTCTGAATGAATATAAAAATTTTCTGCATCCAGTTATTAAAATTTGTTTAATAAATTTTGTTTTCTAACAGTTTTCTCTTACATGTCATATAGTGAGACAGCAAGAATTATAGTTCAACATTATATGGGGACTCTCTTGACTATAAATGTTAAGTTCATATTTAGATGCTGACTTGATATATGTGGGAATACCATAGTTAGAGAAAGTCAAAAATCAAATTGTAATTTTCAGTAGAGTTTGTACAAAGTTGACCGACATATGGCAAGTCTACAAAAAATATTGGTTGTTTTGTTTTGAAAGGACTCCTGATTTACTTTGCCTATGGCATCCGGCATAGTATGGAAAGCTGTCCCAAGGAGGAAGAGGAAGATGATGACAGCTGCTCAGAAAGAAGCGAAATTTCAGAAAAGAAGCATATGGGAGATACAAGTGAACTTGAACATGCAAGTGAAAGTGCTCAGTTTATTCCACATGAAAAGACAAGTGAATGCTGATAAACCTATTGTGTGCACTTTTAGGCTGTGATGGCAGCCGAATGGAGTTGCTGGTGAAATGGTAAACTACTTGCTCCCCCTAAATTAACAGTAACCCACTTGTGCTTTATGGAAACATTAGTAGAAATACATGAAAGATGATCTAAATTAGTTGCTATATATCTCTTCCATCAGAGACTTGCCTCAGAGGGTTGTAATCTTTTAAAAACTGAGCAAGAAAGTGGAGGAAAATAAATTTTCCAAGGGGGCCAATCTGATTCATCTGTCATGTTGGTGATTTCCTTAACAACATCTTCCAACTTTAACTGGCATATATAACTAGTTCTTAAGGAGTATCTAAAGAAGAAGAGTTGAATATTATGGTTTATAATATGGAGATGTATTCTTAACTGCTTTTAAAAATAGGGTAGCATTGCTAAATAATCACATAACTACTTGATTTCCATCGCTCTCTGTACCTTGTTTCTAAACCAGCCACCTCTTCTGTGATGTCTCCTTTATGTTGTTGCTCTATGTTGCCCCTACCCTATGAGAGGCTGAGGCTTTCCTTACCTGTGCATTATATCAAAGGCAGCTTCAAGCTGTATAAACTCAGTTATATTTTGCAATGCAGAGTGAGGTAATGGTCACTGACTGGGAACACAGCATTCGTGACAGGATGAGACTGGCAAGAAGGATAGAAAATGCAATCCAATACAATATTGTGCTGATTTAAGGATGAGTGGAGATGACCTCAGCTCAGCAGTGGGGAAAGGTCCCAGATTCATAGAAATTCCTGGGGGGGGAAAAACCACAGTTATCTGATCTAACTTCTGCTTTGCTCTTATCTGTAAGCAGTATAAATCGTGACAATTCTTCTAAAACAATATTTAAGAATATTTGAAACAGATATATTTTATAGACAATCTAGTTTGAAATTCTGTTTATGTTTCATTTCCAAATGAATGATTAATTTAAACAAATGATGAAGCACTAGCAAAATGGCACTTCTGTGGAACTGAAGTTTGCAAAATGCTGATGCATCTGTTGACTTCCTTAATATATGAATGTCCTGAGCAGGTCAGCACTGCCAGAGATTGGGCTGCAAAACTGTGCACCTATATATTACTTGGTAGATTATTCAATTAAATATCGAAAAAACCTATTCAGAAACTGGCTGATTTGGGGATGTGGTGAGTAGAATAAGCATTGAACTTGCATGTTCTTCTGTCCTGTTACAAAGCATTTGAAATGTTCTGTATAGGTCATTGACTGCTGTTTGCACATTTCATCAGATCCTTAGCAGACAGTGGATAGGAGCAGGCAGTGCAAGCTTTGGGCCTACTACCACTTGTTCTCATCACCATAAATTGTGGTTTCTCTACAATACCCAAACATAGCCACTAAATTCTTCTTCCTGTCTAGGAAGTAATTCTCTTCAAATTCTTTTGTCATCATAGGTGATATAATATTTATTAAATAACTCATGAATAATTTTTTTGTGATATTCCCTCTGTTTATGAAATAGAGGTATGTATATATTTGGAGAGAGGAGGATGAAAAACATAGCTCAAATGTTTTAGCAACACTAATGTTTAAGTATGATAGGTCTTTCTTAAACTTTGGGATAAAGTATGTTTACCAACAAATGTAGGCACCTTCGTGCTGGTACCCATTGCTGAGGCACCTTCAATGCTGGTACCCATTGCTGGCTTTACCTTTTGGGTAGGATTATGGCTTGACACTGTATAAGATGGGCAAATTAGTTCCCAGCATATCATTTGGGATAAGAATCCATTTTAGGAAGCGTCGTGTATAAGTGTCAGCAAGTCCAAAAGAAATTCTTTTTTCTTGAGTCCAAGAGGGTTTACTTCCACCTCTCTGTTTCACCATGTAAGGATTATTTTTTTAATTTTCAGGTTCATTTTCCTTAAACAACCAATAAAATGCTAACAAAGGTAATGAATATTTAAAAAAAACCCCATATCTAATATGTGTTACTTTAATATACTGTACTTACATTTGCACTATTTTTTCCTACTTCAGCCTGCTTATTTATGTGTAACTTGTGAAACCAATATGTCATTGCAGACTTTAGTATGAATAGCAGATGTGGGAGCACAGTTATTTTTAAAAAAATGTAAGCATACAAACTACATTTAGTTTTCTATGCTCAAGTTTATATAAATGGATACAAAAACATTTACAAAAATGCATGCAATGGGAAAGCACTTTGAAGAAACAACAGTGCTATCTCCATTTGATCATCTCAGACATATATACTGAAATTTTGTACATGCAAAAAACTATATATCTGGATGTATTACTTGTGTTATTACTTATAAAACAGCAAACATACATGACCTTAAAAATAGTATTTTTGTTTAAATGAAATTTAGGGAACTACTTTCTGAAGGAAAATCATTAAAATAGAGAACTAGATTTTTAAAATTTTAGGAACCATCTGTGGAAAAACACAACCTTGTGACTGAAATTTCATGTAAATTATTATCATTATATAGGATCATACAGAATAGTTCTCATTCAATTCCCAAACTGTTATAAAATTAGATAGATGATATTTTGCTATGGGAAATAAAAGAATAACCAAGAAGATTTTTTTTCATCTACAGTAGCTTTTCAAAGTAGCTACTTGTATTTTGTGTTTACTATTTGTTTTTAATATGCTGTGAACCGCCCTGAGTCCTATGGGAGAAGGGCGGTATACAAATTAAAATAATAAATAAATAAATAAATAAATAAAGTTATTTTAAACTGTTTTTAAGATATCTTTTCATAACAAATATGTCTAGCTTGTTTAATTTTAATAGAAAAATGTACGTTGTAGATTATACAAGCTGTGAGACAGAACAAAATTTAGAGAAACCTTCAGAAAGAATGTTCAAAATATACATATTTTGTACTTAGCCCAAACTGATGATGAAAATACTTCTTCTTAGACAAAATCCTTCTAAACTAGAAAAGGAATATTTATAATTAAATCTACATGTTTATATTTTAATATTTTTCTGCAAAAGGCCACATTGAAATTAAGCATAGTGCTTTAGAAGCAAAGAATTATTATCAAAGCCTATGTAATTATTAGAATCTAGTTGATTCTAGATATTCATCACTACAAAAGCATTACCTTTCATGTGTGTCATTTTTTTTTATCTTAAAAGTACGTAAATGCCCTGCCAGGCAAATGGAAAATGTTAACCCAAATTGAAAAATCCTAGGGAAGCCAGGACACTTGGCATTCAGACATCAATATACACATAAACTATATTTACACACCATTCCAAGGAGCCTTAAAAAAAAAACCTAGGAAAAAAACAAAAATATACATTCCCTCCATTTGGTAACATTCAGATAAGCAGGGATTAACCCCAGACAATCAGACAGAAAACAATACCCTAATCAAATAACTACCAAGAAGAAAACCACACTTCCACCAAATTATCAGGGAAAGCTACTCTATATATAGACAACAAACCCCGCTTGCTCTAATGATGTTACCTAGTTGAGTAATGAAATGTCTGCAAGCAAACAGCCAAGCTTAGATAGAGAGCACCAAGAACTCCACAGAAAATGTTAAACCTAAGACTTACATATAATCATCTTAGATTAAAACCTTCACACAGTTCTTGAGCTTGGGGTGATTGTTTGGGGTGGCTTTCCCATTCGCTCCGTTGGTAAAAGCTGGGTGATTCCGTGATGGAAAAATCTTTAGGCCCATACCTAAGTACATCTGTGAATAATTCCTAAATGCAAATACACACTTACTAAATGTATTACTTAGTAATATTGCCAATAGGCTTTGTTATGTTCCTACACTACTCTGAGAATAAGCCCCATTAAAACTGAAGGTAAATCCTAAATCAGCATACAGTCCAATAAATAGTTGTCATGTACTTATGGCTGAGCTAGTCAATGGTAATAGTGTCTCTGTTTTTAATAGAATAAAAAATGCAATTGTATTTTCCTGCAGTCACTCTTAAAGCACATACATCTGATTGGATGTGATCACTAACTATATTTCCTTGTTTTGAAATATGCAATAGCACTATAAGGGAGCCTCAGTAAAATACATGCATAGGCATAACAATCTGAAGATTTTGTAATTTTTCACTTTTGTCCTTTGTAATGTAGCATTGAATGAAAAAGTGTATATGGGTAGTCCTCAACTTACAACCAATTATTGATGACTGTTCAAAGTTACAACAGCTCTGGAAAAAGTTACTTATGACTGTTTTTCACATTTATGACTGTTGCAGCATATCCATGGTCATCAAAATTCAGACAGTTGGCAACTGACTCTTATTTATGATAGTTGCAGTGTCCAGGGATCACGTGATCACCTTTTGCGACCTGACAAAGCAAAGTCAACGAGGAAGCCAAATTCACTTAACGGTGTTCTAACTTCAATGACTGACTTAATAACTGTGACAAGAAAGATTGTAAAATAAGTAAAAACTCACTTAACTATCTTGCTTAGCAATGGCAATTGTAGTTGTAAGTCAAGGACTACTTGTATTGTATTGGCTGGATTCAGGCTTGTGTTGGCTGAATCTTTACCCCAATTACAAGCCATTCTTTCAGAAGGTCCAAATATTTTTAGAAAGATCTGAATTATAAAACACCTTTTTGTATATTGTATATTGATTTTTCAAATTTGTTCTCTAGAAACAGTATTTTATACATGTACTCCTATGTAGGGGGTTTTCAGTGTAAACATTTTATCATAAAGCAAAGGGTATTCAAATGTAGTTTGGAGAAAAATTCACTATAATGGGCCTTGTGTAGGGTGACTTGTAGTGAATCAATGTTTCTGTAAATATGTATTTTTTTCTTTCTGTTCCTGGCAACCTCCCATAAAACTCAGTTGAGTGGGAAATCTCGGAAACTAGAATAAACCTCATAACAGGTCACATGTCTAACATTTTATACAAAGTTAGCTGTATCACTGCCTATGTGTATATAAGTAGATAGATAACTGTAATAATTATTACTGTGTATATGTTTGTTCTTTACTAAAGGGGAGAATCTTTTTGTAAAAGTCAGGCACAATATTATGTAAACAACTAAAGGAAAAAAATCCACTTTTATTAATGTATAATCACGTGCAACATGTGAAATAGTAAAAGAAAGGTAAATTGGTGCTTTGGTTTTTTTTCACTTTGCCCGATAAAATGTTCTTGCTGTTGCTCACTGTAAAATACTGCTTTGAAGAGGGTTGTGCATTTGTTCTCTATTTTTTAAAATAAAACTGAAAAATATGCTGCATAGATCACTTTGTTGTCCTTATTTGTGTGTGGGGAAAAAGTTACAAAGCAGCACAGAGAAAAACACATCATGTTCAAATAGTGTAAAAAAAATGTATAGGAACTTTAAACAATGTTCAACAAGTTGGTGATTATCATTTTAATAATTTACCACTTTGTGAATAAACAAGATTTATCGAAGCACATAGTTTTTTTTTATTGAAAATTTTATAAAAGTTTTACAATATAATTCCCCCCCTCCCCAAAACCCACCCTGCCACTCCCCCCTCCCTCCCCCCCCACTTCCCAGAGCCAATCACAGGGTTAACAATACAATAATCATACTCTATCTAACATTAATCAACTATTAAAATAACAAATCAATAACATCCTTTAACTCTCTTTCAAACAAATATACTAGTATTAAACACAATAATTATAACATCTTAATAATTAGAAATAAAAATAAGTAAACTATTATAACATATAAACTACATTAATACTCTAAGATTTACTCAAAAACCAAATGAAACTTTTTAGTCCCATATTTACTCTCAATATAATCTATCCATCTTCTCCAAACCGAAATATATCTTTCTTGTGAATAGTCCTTCACATAAACGGAGATCTTGGCCATTTCTGCTAAATTTGAGACTTTTAAGTGACCATTCTTCTATAGTGGGCAACCGTTCCGTTTTCCAACATTGAGCTACTAGTAATCTTGCAGCAGTTATCAAATTCAACATCAAGTCCATTTCTTTTGTATCCAAATCTTCCATAATACCCAGCAAAAATATCTGCGGTTTAAACTTTATCTTTTTCTTAAACCTATAAAACATTTTGTAAAAATTTTCCCTTAAATTTTGAGCTTGAGTAAATTTTACATTTCTAATCCAAATTGTCTCCCATGTTTCCAATAAAATCGGCTCTTGTATATTTTGAGCCCATTTTATCATACAATCCTTAACCAATTCTGTTTCTGAATCCAATTCAATCAATGCATTATAAATTCTTTTAATATGAGCTTGAGATTGATCTTTAATCTGTTTCATCAAATTTACATCCTGTAAAGTAATACCAACTTTTTGGTCCAAACGCCACCTCATTAACAATTGATTATAATAAAACCAAGAATATTCGATATTTTCTTGTTTCAAATCTACTAAAGATTTAAGTTGCCAAGATTTAAGTTGAAGCACATAGTTTCAAAGCTACTATTGTATTATATTATACTGCCATAATTAAAGTATTATTGCAAGCGTGGCATCTATCCATCCATCTTGGCTCACCATCTGAATTTTTTAATATATATATTTTTTGCTTTTAAAATAACAAAAAGGAACAAAACACAAAGAGGTACATATACTGTCAAAAATATCTAGGTGCTTAAAATTAAGTTTAAAAATAATGACAAAAGTCCATGTAGTAGTGTATGTCGTTATAATAGTAAACAATTACAATTCTATCTAATGCAATTTAAAAAAACAACAACGTTTAGCCATTGGAAGGCTTGAAGCGCGCGGTGTGAGCTTTCCGGGTTCGTCTCTCTGCTGCCTGCCTGCCTGCCTGCCTGCTTGCTTTCCTGCCTTTCCCTCGGTGCTCGGCAATCCCCATGAAATGGGGGCGCCCCTACTACTCCTGCTGGGTCAGAGAGAGGCCCAATCCGCCCTGAGAGAGGGGGGGGGGCTTGGGGGCGGGAAAGGAAGGAGCTGCTCTCCCTTCCAGTCCCGGATCAGGCACGGACTCCGGCGGCATCCCTCGTGGCAGGCGGCGAAGAAGAGGCTTCGTGGCCGCTGCGCTTCACCCCTCCTGCCATGAAGCCCTGGCTCTTGCTCAGCCTTCTGCTCCTGCAGCAAACGCTTCAGAGCGGTAAGTCTCGCTCTCCTCCGGTTTGCAGACCCGGCTCTTCCTTTCCTGCGGGCGGCATCTTCTGAAATAAATAAATAAATCTCTCGCTTCCCCTTCTTTCTCCACGCTTGGGAATAAATTTGACGGGCGGCGGGGGGGGGGGGCAAGGGTGATTTCTACCGTGGCAAAGAGAGCGAAGGGCAGCCGTGGCTCTCTTGGCCACAGACCCTCTTCCTGAAAGGGAGC